GTTTGTGCTATTTTGACCACTGCACAGCTCTACAAGTTGCAAATCCTGTATCATTACACAAAGCCAGGCACCTTTTGTACTACAGCAGCTTCCAATTTTTAATGTTTAGGCCTATTTTTAGCATGCCTCTGCCACCAAGAGAGCCAGCACTGTTCTCCACACTGGCACAGCCCTCCTGACTTTCACGTGCTGCCAACAGCTCTGAGGGCAACTCCCAGGAAGAGCCCCATGATTTGCCACAGCCCTGCTGCAGAACACCTATAAACTGTGATTCTGTGTCATGACACACACACACCCCGGAGAGAACATGGAAACTAACTCCTCAGGCAGCCTGAATTGTTATTTTTCTGAATAATCTCAGATTTTAGAGGTAGCCTTTCCAACCTTCACAATATGACTGGGAATGTAAGAACAAATTTATGTATTTCTGTGGACATTCCCAAACAATCCTGTGACTTCAGATGCCTCCTGCTCAAAAATTTCTTCCTTTAAAATAAGGTGCATCTGCAAAGCTCACAAAATAAAAATCTGTTGGTAGTTAATAAGGTGTGTAGCAGAAAAAAACCACTGACAGTAAGGATCACTTTTGATGATAAACTAGATAAATTTGCCTGCTTCAAAAATAGTAGGGATTTCACTCAAAGATACTTATCAACTTCTCTTCTTTTTCCTTGTTTTCTTGTTTGTTGCATGAGAAAGCAGAAAGAATTCCCCTTTAAAACAATGTTAATTTGGGTGCCAGCCTAAAGTAATTAACCTTAAATTTCTTAAATCATTAAGGTCAAGAAGGCAGCTCTGAAAATTGGAAATAATAATAACTATTACTGCGTTTCCACCACTGTTGTTGAGCTCTCCCAGCACTGCTTCAATAGGCCATGGAAGTAATACAGTAATGGAAGTAATACACTTCTCCAAGCAGCCAGCCAGCAAAAGAAAATAATTACTCATTAGGAGCAATGCAAAAAAATCTGCTACATAAAAAGCAGCAAAACTCCATCTGTTATCAGCAGAAATACCATGTAAGAACACAAAGATCCAGGAAGGGTGGCTGGATCCAGCTGTGTTCAAGTATTAGTTCCTTCTATTAATAGGCACGACTGAACACTGAGGTTGAAATTGGCTTTCCTGGGGGCTGTGAAACCGGCAAAATCCTCATTAAAGGCTGTGAAAGGGAACACAGCAGCGCTGGCAGGAGAGGGAGGAGGTGAGTTCAGTTTTTCCTCCCCACTGCTGCCTGCCAATGCTGGCAGCCATGACCTGGTTTGTGCACCTTGGTAGCCAGTGTGAGCACCGAAGACGCTGCTCTTAGGCAACCCAGTGAACACTCCTGATGATGACAGCCTTACCTGAGCCTCCCTTTCCACTCCATTTACCTGCCAAGCCAGGAGCTCACTGAAAACCCACCCTGGTGCAAACCAGCAGTGGAACAGCGCTCCCCCATCAAAGAGGAAAGAAAGTTTTCTCACAGAAACAAAGGAGTCAGAACACCTGCCTCAGTGCAGCCTCTCTGAATTGTCCATTTGGGTTTGAGTCACACAAAATCTGGGCATGTCCAGGTTGCTGACTGAGCCTCTGAGCGGCCTTGGTGCAGGGGAGGAGGCAGGAGGGGCAGCACTTCTTGCACCACAGGGACACTTGGGCAGACAATTAACACCCCTGCGAGAACACAGGGAGCAGAGGCAGTGACTAAACACTGCCTGCAATTCCAGGAACTCCAGAGTGACACAACAGAGAGCAAAGCCACAGAGAACTGCATTCCCGATGGACAGTGTACGAAAACAAAGCCAGGCAGCTGAGTGCCCTCCCTTGGACAATCACACACAGTGACAATCCTTCCCCACACACGAGCTCCTGCACCTGAAAGCCAGAAACCCCAGAAGAAACAAGCTGTGAAAAATGCATGTATTTTATGATTGGCTTTTCGCAAATATTAAAATGAATATTATATGTGTTGTGTTAGAAAGCAATGCTGTATTTTTTTAAGTACTGTGTTAAATATAGTTTTAGGTTATAAAAATTGTTAAAATAGAAACTATGCTATGTAAGATGCTTTGTTTAAAAGAAAGGACTTGCAGTGAGATAGCAGCCACAGGACACCTAAATCTTTCAGAGAAAAAGAATTTATTACCTTCTTATCGCAAGAAACAAACTTCTTCCCACCTTGGAGGCGCTATTAGGATTAGAGGGAAGAAGTTGGCACTGATCAGAGAGAATCCTGTGTTTGAATGGAATTTCTGCATCACGTATGAAGTGTATGAATATGCAACATGTTATTGTTCTTAAGGGTTAATCCTCTGTTAACGTGGGTCTTTTTTCCAGGTCGTGATGCCCAGAAAAAGACACCCGGACGTCCGTAACTCTTTGTTTCTATTGTCTCATATTGTCCTAATTCAATTTGTCCAAATTGTTATTACTCTAATTGTGTTACTGTTCTTTTTAACCATTTTATTACTATTAAACTTTTAAAATTTTAAAAACAAGTGATTTGCGTTTTTCACACAAGCCATCAGCTATTATGGCTTTCCAGCTGAAGGAAAAATTACTCAGGTCTGTTGTGCCGGCAGCAAACCCCCTCTTGGCTCTTCAGTTTTATTTCACCATAAGGCAGGAATTGGTTAAAAGAATAAAAAGCATGAGCTGGAGCAACTCAACAATCCCACCTCCCTTGCCTCTGGTAAGGACTTAGAAATTTATCTATGGGATAAATAATGACAAGTAAGTATTACTAACCAGCAGAATTATTAAAGCTACATCAGGGAGAAATAAATAATGGAAGAAACAGTGGTCTGAAACTGTCCAAAAACTGGTGGAGTATTTCTAACTGCACTAAAAGATTCAATCTGGTTTCACAGGAAAGCAGAAAGTGCTGCCTTGACTTTTCAAGAAATACTTCCCTTCCTGTAAAATTCCTGTTTTTAAAAAAAACCCCAAACCCTGCAAAATTATTGTTTTCAATAGATATTTTTAGAGACAAAATTAAATGCAGAAAAGAAAACAGCCAGACAAATGGCTTGAAAAAAGGTACAGGTGGCACAAACTACAGTAAATCTCTGAGTTTTGCTCTATTTTAAGTAACACTAGAGGATCACAGGAGATTGTTGAGAGTAAGAGTTACAATTAACAGAAGATTCAGCCTAAGTGAAAAATGGTGGAAATGGCTGAACTGAAAAGGGTGAACTTGAATTAGCTGCTGATTAAAAGTCAATATTAGATAGTATGAGGTGAGTATATTCATAGTACATAATCTTTACAGTAAGTATGCTGGAATGTCACAGAAAATGAAGAGTACTGCTAAAATACACAATCTATGTTGCCAAAACCTAATACACAGCAATTCCTGAAAATTCCATTGCATTATTTTCATGACACTACCTTCCAGTTCCTAGGCTTAATAGCATGTATGAATTGTGCCTTCCACACTTAAAACTTCTTTCTATTTATCATAGAAAGAACATATACTGAAAAAAGAAATAAAAATTAAATGTGTTAGTCAGCAAATTTGATGTAAGAATCCCTGGGACCATGCAGCTGGTGACATCCAGGTTGAGTAGGAGGAGTAAACCTTGGCAAAGTGCAAGGAATAGAAAGAAAAAAAAATTAAAATATTGGGCTGTCTTTAGTAATAGATAGGAACATTGAAACAAAGGGACAACAGAATTTACATCTTTGTCTTCTCTCTGAGGAGGACTATAAAGGAAAAATAAATCACTTAGGAAGCATGCAAGTATCTTTAGGTGTATTATGTTACAAAACCACTGATTGAGAAAGTGAAAAAATCCCATTCAAAAGCAGAAACAACTTTCTTCCAACAACAGGCTGCCTCCAGACATGGAACACTGTGGTGGATCCCCTCTGAGCCAGCTCCACATCTTGGGTGTGAACTGAGGAGCTGGAAAGCCCCTGGCTCACACATGGGAGTGAAGGTGGGTTCAGAAATATGTCAAAAGGTGCTTCTCAAACACAGAATGTCAAGGTAATTAAAGTAGAGAACACAGTACCAGAAGTAAAAAAAGACATTAATATTGTCTGCACTGCTGACCAGCACCCAGCTGCCTCACTCTTGAATGCTGCCATCAAAATGGGCCCAGTCTGAGTTCTCCCTGGACTGCAGCTGGAGTTAAACTTTACCCCAAACTTCACTAAATTCCATCAAAAAATGTTTATTTACCTCAATAAAACACACTGCTGCTTCTCTTTTAAGTGATTTGCATCCCCTGTGACAATTATGCGCACAACAGCGGCTACCAGGTGCAGCACCAGCAAGAGCGTTTTCAACCCCCTCCTTCAACACCTTGCAAGACCTGAGCACCCTGCTTGCCCTCAGAGAATATCACCTGCACTCCTTGGCCATTCAGCTTTAAAATGCTGCTTGAATGGTCAGCTGGACTGCTCTGGTGGCAATGAAAGCAAAGCTGTCAGCTCTTCAAACTCACCAAGTTCAGAACAGAACCCCCAAAAAAATACGAACACCTCAAAGTGAAAAAAGAAACACAGCACCCCCAAAAGTCAAATAATGAAGGTGCCCACTGGCATCAACAGGGCCAGGATTCTTTAAAATAACTGGGAGACTGACAAAGAACATGTGAAAAGGGAGAATTGTTACCATTTATTTCCTCACCATGTCAACACTGGCACTCTGCTGCCTTGTGCTCCCCTTTCCTTTCGGCAGGTTACAATTTCTAGCAAGTCATGAGGAGCACCCCTGTGGTGCTGAATGTGGGCAAACAAATAATTTTCCATCCCAATGCAGGATGGAAAATAGAGAGAAAAAAGAGATGGAATCACACCACATTCTCTTCACTTGTAAAAACATATAATAAAAATATAATATAAAAAATATAAAAATATATATCATATATTAATTTCTATATAAATATTAAATTTTTATTTATTGTATATATAAATATATATATATAAAATATATATATATAAATATAAAAATATAATACAAATATAATAAAAAACTAAAAAAGTATCATTTCCTTAAGTACACACATTACCTTAGCAGAAGCAGCTGCTCCACTTGTCTCTGTTTTGGGCGGCTGGCTGACATTAGCACTTGCTTGTTTCTTCTAGAAAAAAAAAATAAAAATCACATAATAAAGGTCAGAAATGTTGATGAAGGAAAAGCCAAGTAAAACTGCAAAACAAACAAAAAAAAAAACAAACCCCAAATGAAATCAAAGAATTAAAAAAAGAAAAAGCACACTTAAAAATGTCCCCCAGAACATTTTTGCAAGGCGAGTCATAAAATGAATTCTCCTACGTAACTTTAATTCACACAGGCACATTTCAGAGCTCAGAAATGTGCACACCCAGAATAGCCTGAATTTTCCAGCAGTGTTTTATGGACAACACATAAATCTGTGCCATTTCCTGTGGCACGGCGACTCCATTTTAAGCTAACAGTTAAAGCAACAGTATGTACACAAAAAGAATCATGAAAACAAGAGGGGCAAAGCTATTGCTGCTCCGACAGAATGTGAATCACCACCTAGGAGGTAACATCCTCGGGCAGGGAAGTAAAGATACAAAGTTAAGGGCAAAATTATGTTTTTTCTAAGAAGCACAAGATTCACAATGCATTTAATATTTCACATTACAACAGGCAGGGCAGGCTGCAGAAGGACCAGAGATCCAACAAAGTCAGAAGCACCAGTTCTCAATGGATGGGACACCAGAACTGTAACAATCTGGGAGATCCAGAGACCTCTGCCATTCAAGTCATACCACCTGGAGTTCCTCCTCTTCCTGGTTTTGTTTGAAAAAAAAAAAGCTTGAGCAAAGATGCACATTCAGCAGTCACATCCAGAAACGAGGCAGAGGGACATATACACAAGATTAACAAAATATGACCCAAATGAAAGCAATAAAAGCAAAGACAAGCTGCCAGTTCTTCAAAATCACCAAGTATCCACCCAGTAAACAGAACCCAAAAAATACGAACACAAAATATGCCCCAAATCTGGTACCAACTGAAACTAAGAGGGATCTTACATCCAGAATCATGCTGGAAATAAAATGACATTCCAGTAAGACTCCACAGGATGCTGCAAAGCCTGTTTTTTGCAGGCTAACACTGTTTTTTGCCTGTTAAAAGGATGTTAGGAGTGTTCCAGCCCAGGACCTTCCTGCTCAGCCACTGAGCTCCAGTGCTCAGTGCTGCCCATTACAGACTGGCCCAGGCTGAGGGATGTGGTTAAAGGAAAAATCAGCAGCAAGGCCCAGAGAGACCCTAAAAACACCCCAGAGACAACTTAGAGCCTCACCACAGCTCCCTCCATCATGAGTCAGTCAGGTTTGTATCCATATTTTCTCCACACATGCCTAAAGGAGCAGACAGTCTCCTTGCACATATTCTGTAGCTCTGGATAAAATGAGCATTTTTAACTCCCTAAGGAAGGAAGCACTGCTCCAGCCGAGGTGGTAATGAACCTGCATGCAGGCGATGGAAGTGTGATACATTTCTAATTTTGCAGAGACAGTCCTGAGATGCAGAACACCTTTGGCTTTGTCTCTGACACAGTGCACTGAATTCTCTGTAATGAGCATTACCCAAAAATCCTTCAGCTTTTAATTAAGATGTCCGAGTAGCTCAAACTCTGAAGTGCTTGCCTCCCCTTTTTAAAGAGAAAATTTTAAAAAACAAGGAGTCAGCATAAAAGAATCACAAAAAAAAATTAAATAAAAGCAATACTCTGCAGAGCAATCAGAATTGTGGGCACACCTTCAGCACCACAGATCTTGACTGCCACCTCATGCTCAGGGTTCACAGTGTTCAAGTTTTACCTTCAAGACTATGTCTGACAGAACTGTGATGCTCTGAAAATACCACAGAATCACAGAATTCCACAAATCCATGAAGTACTCTTTTAGAGAAGGGAGTCTTTATGATATCTTACCAACACGCTCAAGAATTTCAGACACAAGGGTAGCTTTCCCCACCTCCCAGCAAGTCTGAGCTACAAAAAAAGCCCCCCCAAACCAAACCAAACTAACAATTAGAAAAAACAAAACAAAACCAAACAAATAAACATACAAAAAGCCAAACAACCCCCCAAAATTAAAACCAAAAAGAACCCCTGAAACCAAAAAAAACCAAATCCAAAAAACAGACCAAAAACCAGAAACAAAAAATCCCACCTTCCAAACCCCCACAAAAAAGAAAAAAAGCAACAAGAAAAAAACCACAATGTTCCCCTAAAAAACAATAAAAATAACCAAATAAAAGCCTCCTCCAAAATCAGAACCAGCTCAAACACAGTGAAATAAATCCTTGTTCAGAGTATGAAGTTGTGTTAATCAACTAAACAGAATTAGGAAAAAAATGTTAATGCCAATAATTATTTAGTGGTAAACCAAACAGCAATAAAAGATAGAGAAGAAAAATTAACAAAATAAATTCTCCTCTGCAACAGAGAAAGACTCCTTGGAGATGAGTCATGTGGAAGTTGAAGCCACCATATCAAATGAGCATCACCCAGTGAATACTGACCACAGCAGATGGAGTAATATATATTTTAGTTCCCAGAGTCATCTTTCAACAGCAACTTCTTTGGTATCCAGGTATCCCTTCCTACATTTGTAAAAGCAGGAGAACTGGCCACATCATTCAATGTTTATCATTCAATTCAGGTTTATCCTTCTTTCCCCCTGATTAAAATCAGGATGTTTGGGTGTTTCCCAAGATGTTCCCTCCACGCAAACCAGCTCAGATATCCTTTATTGACAAACACATCAGAGCTGTTCTCATCTTCTCCCCCTCCAAGAACTAGAAGAGTGTTTTTCTTCTGTGACATTCTCAGACACAAACAAGAGAAGAAGTACCTTGCTGCTGTGCCCACACCTTGCTTCCCAACCTGATATCAACAGAGACAATGAATTATCAAAGCACAGCTTCTTTATGGAATGAATTAAATGGGTTATGGACCTGTAAAGAATTGTGTGTGAAGGAATAAAAGCTGTGGCACACAGGTACTCAGAATCTACTCTTTACTTTAGCAGTGGCTTCCAAAAGGAAGAGCACTGTTTCAGAGTGGAATATTAATTCTGCAGGTTTAATAAGGGGGAGAAGAAATATACATTCTTCTGCTAAATTGATTTGCAAAGGAAGATGTGTTAAGACTGGTGTCCAGAAAAGTGGACTTAGTGTTCATTTTGGACGACAACATTCAAGTGTTCGTTGCAAGATTGTAGTAAGAATGCTTACAGTACACTTGTCTTGAGGGGGAAAAAACCCACAAGAGGGAAGGATGTGCAATCTCTGTGCTGCAAACGCTTTTGACAACCATCAGCAGCATTTCAGCCTCCCCCTATCAATCCTTCATTCAAGAACAGCTTGAGGAGCAATCACCCTCTATTCCTTCTGAAGGCAGACACTCACATTGCAACAACTCTCAGCAAGTGCCAGAGTTTAACTGAAATAATGTTATTTTTCAACTACCTTTGGCATTTTATCCAAAAGAAGCACCAAAACAGAAAAGGGAGAGAGATAAAGAAGCTGCTGCTGTGCTTCCCAGAACCTTCCTCCTCCTCTACTGAGGATGGATTAAGGCCACAATCCCCTCTGCCAGTGCGAAGGCGCTGTGAGGCACAAAGGGGAAGGAAAACAAACAAACAATGCAGATATAAATAAATAATTTGGCACCAAAGTAAAAAGAAACCTCACAAACATCACAGGTAAAACCTACCCATGCACTTCCACAACTCAGACCAGCAGTGGGCACCCCAACGAGATTTTCACCAGTCATGATGCCTTCACTCAGCATTCATGCTTTTTCTGGATAAGGGATCTTAAGTGGCAAGCCTCAGGATTAAAAAGTACCCCAGACACACTGATTTCAGAGCAAAGAATCAATTCCAGAAGGATGGAGATGCTTTAGCACCAATCATCACTGCCATCCTTTCAAAGTAATAATATATCTCCTGATAAGTAAAGAACAATGAGCTGAAGAAGCAGCACAGGTCCTGCCTACATTCCTGAGAAGAACAACTCGAAATGCCAGGACATGTTAGAGAGGGTCCTGTTTCACACCGTACCTGGTGAATTATGGCCTCACTCTGAGCTGGAGCTTCCAATTTCTATAATACATGACTCTGTCTTCCTTTTCCCTATCACATTTTTACATCCAGACATCAGCCATGCACAGACTGGGCTTTTGCTCAGACACAGAATCTCTCCCTGGCATTTCCCTCTGTGACAGTAAAAAGAGAACAGATCTTTCTCCACATTATTAACACGGATCAACACAGAGCAGGGGGGTTTCAAGCACAGCCACACACAGTGTGAGCACTTGTTCTGCTCTGTTTTCATGAATTTCACGTGGCTGTGCAGCAGAACACCCTGTGCCCCAAGGGCAGCCCTGTGACAGGCAGCACTGACTGCAAGGTTAGGACAGCAGGACCATGTGCCTCACCACAGTGCAAGACCTGCCTTCCTAATTTTGGATAAATTTTATCACTCCCCTGTCTATAGCAGTGGTCAGCAGCAGATAGGAAAGAAAACAAAACCAGTTATGTTAAAACAGTTCAGGTCTATGTTGATGTTTCTTCTAAATACTCTTCCAGACTCAATCTGTGGGCCAGGGATTTCTTAGTTCAGTGTATTTTATAAACCATCCTGGGTTTTTCTTCAGTGATTTTGAGCCATCTGCCCCTGAAAGCATTTATATTTTAGCATCCAAGACCTTCTAGAGCACTTGGGCCCCAAAGGCCTCAAAAGTGGAAGTGATCTGAAATTGGTAGAAAGGCACACACATAGGTAAGCTGAAGACAATGCCCAGATGGCGAATAAAATAAAACCACACCAGCTGTCCCTCACATGCCGAGCATGGGCACACCAGGAAGCAAGGGGAGGAAAGGAAATTTACTGCTCCATACCCTTTGCAATGACATGCTGCAAACACATGGCTCAGGTCCACAATGTCCCATCACAGTGAGAGAGCAGAGGGACAGATCTGGGAAACCTGCAGCACACCACTCCCTTCTGCTGCAACAAAATGCCACAGCTTCACCTGCATGAGCAACCAGCAATTGCAACAGCCACCAATTCTCTTCTGTTAACACCTCCCTATTATTATCGGTGCTTTTATTTGAAGGGATGGGACTGCAGTTGGGCTAAGAACGATTTATTGCCCAGATAAACATCAGTCTCAAAGGCTGAGAGATTTTAAAGAGCAAGCAATTGGCCATAGCTCAAAGTAGTCACAAGTTCTTTGTTACAAGACCATATATAACTTTCTAATCCAATGGGAACTTGCTACAAAGTTTATTTTGCTTTTTAACCTATCCCTTTTACTTACTTCTGTTGCAACGAGTGCACTTTTATCCAATGGGCTACTATATCACACCTACACGTTTCTATTATAACTTAGTTTATATTATAACTCTTCTATTATAACTTAGTTTAAACTTACAAAGTTTATTGTGCATTTTTAACCTATCGATTTTACTTACTTCTGTTGCAACGAGTATATTTTTATCCAATGGGCCACTATCACACCTACACACGTTTCTATTTTAACTTCTAAACTCCTAGCTTACCCTATACAATTACATTACTACGCTATAAGCCCTTCTTATCAATAGTTTCTTACTTACTTAAGGCCTACTCACAACTATAGAAATCTAAATTTATACTTTTCCTGCTTAATGTCTGTGTACTTTATCTTTACATCAATCTAAGCTTCTTCTTAGAAACTTAGATCAAATCCCGTAGTGTCTGTGGAAGTTTCTGTTTTTCCATTTTCCCCCATACATAACATCCACAAGGAATGAAAACATTTCAGTAAAGCTGAAATGAGATTCTCAGCTGGGTTTTTTTTGGTTTTTTTTTTTTTTTTGAGATTTTCAGCAAGTGATTGTCCCTAGAAGGTGAACTCAATAAATGAAAGGTTCTAACAACCAAGACATCAAGATTTTAAGGCAGATCCCTATGACTTGAGTCTTTGTCCTGGAGAAATGCCTAATACAACACAGCACATACACTTCTATTGACACCTATACTGATGAAGAACTGCCTTTATTTCTTTTCAATTACATACTGTACAAGCTTCTATCTACAGCAAACCTGCTGTGCTTTCCTCAGTCTACTTTTAAGTCTCCCTTGTCTTTAAGAAGAAAGGATTAAGAAGCCTCTTCTACACCCTAAGAGTATTGATGCAGAGTTCCACTTGATGCTGTGGCTAACTGGCATCTCCCACTCAAAGCACTGTCAGGCCCTTCCTAAATTTGCTTTTCAAAGCTCCACCCTTCTTCTCTCACCCCCTCAGGACCACATACCCAAAGAATCTGAGAGACAAGAGCTGTTTGTTGTTATTTTTTGTTAAACAACAACAATACTAATTCTACTGTTTTACTTTCAGTATGGATACAAGCTCCTCAAAGACATCAATATTTTCATGTCATTTCTCTAATGCCAAACCTTTTCCAGCAGGCAGGTGAACAAACGCAATATTCTAGACAACATTGCCCAAAGCTCTCTACAGATACATTACAAATTTATGCCTCAAAAATTGAAGGCTATAGGAATTATCTCTGACTTTTAAACAAAAAAAGTAACATTGCAGACTCCTGGGAAAGCTGTTGAAAGATTCTGAGTTGTTTCCTCAACTGCTTAACAAATCAGAGTGTTTTGGAGGTAGGTGTGAGTCACAGTGGAGTCAGTGCCCTTCAGTGGGTCTCTGGAAGAGGTTTTTGATCTAATTCCAATTTAAGGACTTAAAAGTGGAAATAGATCAAAAACCATGCAGAGTGCATAGAACAAATAAAACACATGAAGAAATTCAGAAAAGTAAACATATATGCAGTATTCTAAGGACTCAAAAAGCAGAAGTATCTGGAAAATAAATTTTAGCAAGTCTTGTTTTTGCTGGAAACAGATCTTCTCAATAAGAGGTCAGAAACATTAACCCCAGAACTCTGAACTACAGCCCTCAACTCCCACCCTTCCCACAAAAAATGTCAGCACTGCTCTAATAGGAAGAACAATGTGCAGTCAAAGAATATGGCATTAAACCAAGATTGTATAAATGCACAATGGTATTTATGAAAAAAACAAGCTGTCTGGAGAGGAAAGGTGGAACATATTCTCAGGCTGGAGAAGTTTTCCTTGCTTTCTGGACAGGAAAGAAAAGCAATTGCTTGAATCATCTACTTCAGAGGACTGTCACAAAAGCATTCACTGACCCTGATTTGCAGTGCAGTCAAACAGGCTCAGGCAAAGTTATTTCCCACACAGCTTCTGCTGAGGATGGATGAACCATCAGGTGGAAAGCATCAGGGTGCACTCCCTCCACCTGTGCTGCTGGGCAGATGAAGTACCAGGGCCATCAGATGTGTCCCACACTGTCCCAGCACTGCACAGCAGGCACCTCACTGAGGTAACTTCCATGGATACCAAGAATTAGGTAAAACATGAACAAAGCAAAAAAAACCATTTCCAGTAGGCTGCTGAGCAACACAAACAAAACTAAACATTCCTAGGATGAATAGTGACTGTCTGGAGTCACGAGTTTATTGTCCAAAAACTACTCTGCTATCAAAAGGCAAAAATCAGCGCAGGAGGAAATTCATTGCCAACTTTCCTTAATATATCCAAACACTTGTATTTACCTCTTCCGCCTCTGCTTTTTTCTCTCCTGCCTTGGAAGAAGCTTCATTTGCCTTCTTGTCACCATGCTGTGAACAGAGAAAATAGATGAGTAGTTATTTAGACCTTAAGTCTTATCTTCCACACAAAGAAATTCTCAAACTTTTTAGTGCAAGGATGATTCCTTTCAGCTACCACAAAATGACAGCAGGGAACACTTAAAGTTTTTCTTCTCACTAATAGAGGGGATTTCTACAGGGCCTGCTGCATAACTTCAAGAGAAATCAGTCATAAGGCCATGACACTTAGGGCTGTACATGACTGTTCTTGTGAAAAGTTCTGGAAGATATTCAGCTTATCACTCATCCCTCACCAGCAAAACACTCTCCAGTGCTTGTTTTGGAAATGTCAGAACCACGGGCTTCAAACAGCTCTCAGAGGCACCAACATGATGTGTGCAACCCACTCCAACATCTGAACTCCCCTCAGACACACTGAAATGTTTGTTATGCCCAGCCCTCCTCGCCTGAAAGCAAGCTGTTACCATGATCGCTTTAATTCTGGTGCTGACACAGAAAAAAAAAAATGTTCCAACCGTTCAGGCACAGGTGCATGTTAGGAAATTACAGTTCTTCCAGGATCCCTGAACCTCCTGCATCTTTTCTCTGCTCTTCCTTTCACTTAATCTGATGCACAATCCCAGCAGCTTCCCATGTGCAGCAATGCAAAGAAAATCACATTTTGCTCACTGGTACCCAGCATGTTAGAACTGTCTGCATCTCTGAAAAGTGGTGAATGTGGTCCCTCAAAACATCTCTTTTCAAAAATAACAAAAGCGAAATGCATAAATTAATATAAAAGGCAACATAATAGAGCTACCCTCTAATGTCTCAGCTGGTGCAACTTCCCACAGCAACTGAGACATCTGGGAGGGAGGATTCACGTCTGGTTTGTTTCGTTAAGTAAAGACAGGAGATGATTCAAGACCCATTTATTCCCTTCTGTTTTCGGGACTGAGCAGCAGGAGGTAGAGCCTGCTAATCCACTAAGTAATGAGTTCCTGCAGATTTTTCTTTACATGGCTATAGGGAGAAAGCAATGATCCATGTATCACTGCACTATCTTCAACAGAAATCAGTTCCAGCACATCAGCAGGAGGAAAAAATGTACTACAGCAGGCTGAAAAAAAGTACTACAGCAACAAAAATTTCAGTAATTGTTTTGGACAACCTCTAACAATTCAAGTTTTTAAAATGAGTTTGGTTATGACTAAGACACTCAATGAGTTTTAAAACTGGAAGTGTTCTAGTCATGTTCCAAATGTGCCTCTTCAGAAGAAAAACAAGCCCCATTGGTTGCCTATTCAGGTAAGAGATTAATTGATTCACTGCTCCATAATAGCACTTCCAGTAGAGACACAATTTACCCAGCTATCTGTGCTTTTTACTGCTACAATAAAAGCACATTGCACACATATCAGTGAGAGCAGTGAGTCTCCTGTTGCTCACAGAACAGGAATTTCAGAGCCAGCACTTGCCATAAAGCTCAGGAGCTAAAGGAGAACTCTGCTGATCAGGCTCTCTTCTTGCATGGATACGCTCAGCATCAAAATGCACCAAAAATCAAGTATTATCCTCAATCCAGCTATTAAATAATAACTATTATTATAATAATCCAGCTATTATATTATCTAGGCAGCTTCAGTGCCCAGAGAGGACGCAGAACAGACCAGGACAAGGACCACAACTTTGCTACCCTTAAACTCAAGACAGAGAGACACCAAAAGCATTACATCTTCCCTCCAGAAGGCAATGCCAAACAGCATCTAAAATAAAGAAACTTTGACTCAGAGGCCAAATATGTTCATTCCAACTTAGGGAACAAAGCACATATGGTCAGACCAAAGTAGTTTTGTTGGTTTTTTTCCCCAGTAAGTTGAGTAATGCACTGTGTACACATAGAGCCTTGATAATTCATTCCCTGGCCTCAGACCATAAAACAGCCTGTGAAAGTTCTGCCTTGCAGGAAAATCTGTCCTGTCCTGAAGAGGTAACCTGGGAAAGCACAGCTTCACAGTACACCTGAGGAAATCATGCTGGTTCCCTGAACAGTTCATGCATAGGGTATGATGAGGGACCCCATTTCAATAATGCCCTTCAACAGCTCTTTTCTTATCTGGATTTTCCAGCTTTGAACCCTCCACTAAAAAATTAAATATACAAAAATAAATAAAATAAAAACAAAAACAAAACAAGCAAAAAAAAACCCCCAAAGCCCAACAAAACAAACAAAAACAAACAAAACAAAAATTAAAAAAACACCAAACAAACACAAAATCCCTCAAAAACAAACAACAAAAAACAACAACAAAATAAAACAGGCAGTAAATCAATCTGCTTAGTCAGAAGGCTAAGCTCAGGTTTTGTGGGACAGTGCACATCCACTGCTCACTCATATTCACTACTCATGATGACGACAAGCTGACTTTTTCTTTGGGCACTCTTTCCTTTTCCTGCTCATCTTCCCTTATGGTGCCAAAGATTCAGATTCATAACCAAGGCAGTGGATCAGAGCAGCTCCAGCTCCCTCACCTCAACAGTGGGCGTACAGCTGAAGTGACAATTTTAGCTTAACTCATGAGCTAACAATTCCTTGCAGCTTTTAAGCTCAAAATATTTTCCAACCTTACTAACTAAAAAGAACCAAAAACAAAACCACACATCCTACCCATAATCATATGTTCACAAAAATACATAAGTGCCATGAGCAAAAAGGTTTAGCCTGAGATCTTCATCCTGTTCTAAAGTGCAGAAAAATGTCACCACACTATTAAGACACACCTTTAAACTTCTGACTCAAGCAGCACTCATAAACTAGAGAGCAACTGGTGCAAAAGCACAGAGAACATTACTAACAACTGAATAGACACCTATGTGCACAAAAAACCAACCCTCACTAAAGGCTTTGCTTGCAAGAAATTCCCTCTAAACCTCAGGAGATTTAGAAGGCATTAACAAGCCTGTGGTGTAAGGCCACTGCGCAGCATCTGGGAGGACGTGCAGCAACTGGGTGAGAAGCGAAGTCTTGCAAGATTCTCAGCTAAAGTCACTCAACTCAGCATTACAGACATCTGAGGAGATGGGAATCTGACTTTTGCTCTCAGCTGGAACTGGGAGGAAGGCAGAGATCTTTGGCACTGCTTGGAAAACTGTCAGATGCAAGGAGTTGCCAGGGGAGTTACAATCCAGCCAGGTGAAGAATGGAAAGGTGAAATCCAGATTCTTACTGCGTCCAACCCCAGCTTTGGGGTAAAACCTTAATCTCCTTTGTGTCTGTCCCTCTCACCCTCCTCTCCTGCCTCTCCTACCTCCCCATGCTCAGGAGAGGACTCCAGTCCCAAGTGCCAACAACCACAGGTAGGAGTTCCCAAAGGAGCAGCTCTGGGAGAACTTTTCTTACCTGATCACACACAGCCACATCTTGGTATCTTTTCTTCCCCTGGATGCAATGACACAGAGCTAAGGGGGCCTTCCAAATCCATTCCACAGCTTAGTGCAGTAATTCTCAAAATTTTCCCTTTGTGATTTTGTGCCACCTCCACCAGTTTACTCATTCAGGTGAAGATTTGGATGTTTGAGTAGAGCAGTTGTAATTATCCAAGTCAGTCTGACACTTATTATCTCTAACTAGGAAAAAGTAAGTTTTTCATGCAGCAAACAAGTGTGTGGTATCAAGATCACACTGTGTTTTCTGTCACTGTTTCCACTTATTTCTTCAGAACACCTGCAAGTGAACAAAGCCACTGAGGCTTGCAGTGATTTGACCTGACACAATGACTGATACCTGAAAACACTGATCCAGGCTGCACGGAGCAATTTAAAAGTACAGTTATCACTTCAAGAGGTTTCATCTTCCTGATCACATATTTAGGGAGTGCGTTAAAGTGATATTTTCTCTGAAACCAACATTTCACAACACATGCTTTCTGTAAAACTTTAACAGAATGCAAACATTTTTTTTTTCTTTTCACCATTCCACACAGAGGCCAGCTGCTTCCTCCTATGCGTAACGTGTCATAAAAGTTTCTTAAAGTCTTTTCAAAATCTTTTAAAGCAGTCGCGGGCTCGTCAAAGTGATGAGCAGGCACCCAAGTCCACCCAAGCCACACAGAGCCGTCAGAGGGCTGCGGTTTGCTCGGGGAGCATCAGGCAAGCGACGGCTCCTCCCGGCCACCCACCTGCCGTGCAGAACAAGCTCCTGGGAAAAGGCGCAGCGCAGTTCCTCCCAAAGCAGCAACATTCCCTCACCAAAATCCCGTCTTACTCTTCCTAGCGCGCTTTCATCACCCCGCGAGCCTGCGTTACTCGGGCGACGACCAAAACTGCTAACAGCCCCAAAATCCCCGGTTTTCTGTGTCGTTTTCTGACAGCGGATGGGATGCTGGTGCGCACCGCGCTGACTCGAACCACTTTTTTTTTTTTTTAATTGTTTTTAAAGGCGCTGTCTCGCCTCCCTCCGCACCACAACCCCTTTCCTTACTCCCTTCTCCATCCCGATCGCTGGGGACCATCGGGAGCATCGGAGCATCCCGCCCGCCCCATCCCGCGGGGCTCCCGGCTCCCCACAGGGGTGGTCCCAACTCCCCACAGGGATGATCCCGGCTCCCCACCGGGGCTTTCCCCGCCCTCACTCACCATGGCGTACCACCAGCGGGCGAAAGCCATGGCGCTGGCGCTGCTGCTGTGCTGCTGCTGCTGCCCGCCCTGCCCGGCACTGCCCGGCCCGGCCCGGCCCGGCCCGGGACGCGCCCAGGGCGGTGCCGGCGCGGAGCCGCTCCCCCGCCGGGCCCGCGGGGCACCGGGGGCAGCCGGAGCGGCATCGCCGCCCTCCTCCTGTGCAGAGCCCTCCCCGCACCCCCGAGCCCGCCTTACCGCCGCGGGCAGCGGCTGCCAGCCCGTCCCGGACATGCCGATCCCGGGCAGGAGCAGCTCCCGGGGTCCCGCAGCTCCACGGGCGGCTGAGGCGGCCGCGGGTCCCTCCCCTTCCTGCCGGGGCCGAGCCGGGACGGGGGAACCAGGGGGGCCGCCGTGGCGAGACTGGGATTTCTTTAAAACAGCGCTGTTTGGGGGGACTGGCGGGAGGACCGCGCAGATTTTCTTCTCCTCGCGAAAGTGATTCCCCTTGGGGAAGCGTTTGGGTGTCGACAGCCGAAGCTAGGCGGCTCCAGGCTCCATGGCAGCCCCCAGCGAGGGTTTTGTCCTTTCCCCGAGATGGAGCCTGGGGGCTCCTCCGACACACGGCTCCTCCACCGGCTCCTCTGCCAGCTTGCCTCCAAATTGGGCACCCTGTTCCTATGAGAGCCTCCTTCCCCAGCCTTGGCATCCTGGCTCCTGCACCAGCCTCTGGCTGCTGTGCCAGCTCCCCCAGAGCTGTGCCACCCCAGCTTCTCAGCTCCTTCCCACCACACAAACAAACACGGCTGGTTTGGAAGTTGGCCGTGCATCCTGTGGCTTGGTGTGGTGCTCGCCCTAACACCCAGGGGATTTGTTGCAGGTCGGGTTATAAAATGGAAAACACAGGTGTTGTGTGCAGGAATGGGCACAGTTTGGCCAGATTGTCCTGCCAGGTTGTGTGCAGTAGAAGAGGTCAGAGTTTGGGGTGTTCTGTGCCAGGGAACCCCAGGTTCAGGCTGGGTGGGTGGAACAGTCTCAGGGTCTCTAGCTGGTCACTGTCACACCAAGAAATGTTAGAAAGTGTTTGTTCTCAGCTTGGCAGTCGAAGAAGGAGTCAGGGCTCTTCATTTCTCAGTCTCAAGGTTGTTTATTGTATCTTGTTTGTGAAATTTTTTCTCCTGTCTCACCGAGGTCCACTCAGCAGGACAGTCAAAGGCACTCTGCCTCCCCCGGGGCAGTGTTATCATTTTATACTAAAACCTACATGAACAATATTTACAATTATTTTCCAATAGCTATCACCTATGTTAGACAGTGAGCTTCTACTCTAAACCAACCCAAAAGTGCCAAGAAGAAGGAGAAAGGCTGGACACGCCCCAATTCCTCCATCTTGCTCCCTGAACTCCCACTCTAAAAACCCCAAAAATTCTATTTTTCACCCCGTGATAAATTCTCTATCATTCTACTTAAACTTTCGTGGCTTGTAATTCTTCATATAAAGGTTGGTAATTGTTTTTTTCCAAGGGTTAAATCAAAGGCACAGGGGTCTTGGGCTCTGTGCCAAGGTCTCCGAGCCCCCTGGACATGGGCTCGAGTCTTCCAGGGAATTTCCTGGGTTCCCACAGAACAGCTGTTGGAGGAGTTGCACTACTCTGGAGGGGTAACAGCAGCAGCTCCTGAGCACATCCTTGGGTCAGGAGGCCCTGTCTGAAGAAGAAAGAAGGAAAAGTGTCCCAGTCTTCAGGGAGTGCTCCTCAGCTGCTTCCTTGGGGAGCAGGCAGTAGGTTACTCTGCGTGGTTGGACGCCTGTAAACCCAATTAGTGCCCACGCCCTCGGCTGTCAGACAAGTGGGTGAGGCCTCCCCTCGAGGTCTTGGGAGAGGACTTTGTTCTGCAGAGAGAGGGGGAATGTTCAGAGGGATCTGCCTGAAGCCACCCCTGCTTTTCCTTCCTGATCTCAGCCTGTGACACTCAGCCAGAGGAGGTGGAGGGGCTGGTGTGTGCAGGTTTACCTGGGGTCACTCTGACAGGTCCAACAGATTGTGCTGCATTCCTGCAGCTGGCTGCAGGCAGCAGACCCTCCCTGCTGGCTCCAGGCAGCCCTCAGGGAGCGTCACCCTCCTCACTGCCTGATGACAAACAGCTGGAGCTGACGGTAATTGGAGTGGTGGAGCTGCACAGGAGCAGGGCAGCAAGACAAGAAACCCTCGGTGATGTCAGCCTGCATCATGCTGGGAATTCGGGGTGCTGCTGACCCAGAAGCACATCATTCCAGCTCTGCCAGTAGGTTCAGGTTATAAATGAGGTCTGAGCACTGCTGCAGGAAGGAGGGGAGCTGCCCAGACGCTTGCCCCAGGTCCTGCAGTTGTTGCAGTCTTTTGTAAACTGGCTGGGCTCCATCCAGCCTTGCAAGGAAATCTTGCTTTGGGGCCGAGGGCTTGGCATTGTTGCTTCTATTAGAAGACTCCTCTAGCTTGCCACTGCTTCAAGAAACCATTGTTTATTGGCAATTTCTTCCCAAGTTTATTCTTAGCTATATGTAGTTTATATGTAAAGGATGCAGGCAGCACACATTTACCTGGGGATGGAAAAGCAGGTTCTTGTTTGTCTGACAGAAGGAGAGTCAGCTGGAAGCCCGAGTCAGCTTTTTAAGTACTGAAGGCCTAAACACCACTCCAACAGTTTACTCATTCGGGTGAAGATTTTGATGTTTGAGTGGAGCAGTCATAATTATCCAAGTCAGTCTGACACTTATTATCTCTAACCTGAAAAAAATAAGTTTTTCATGCAGCAAACAAGTGTGTGGTATCAAGATCACACTGTGTTTTCTGTCACGGTTTCTACTTATTCCTTCAGAACATCTGCAAGTGAACAAAGCCACTGAGGCTTGCTGAGATTTTACATGGCATTAGCCATGGAGTTCTGCACAGGGCTGATCAGAAACAGATGCAAGAAGTGATGGGCAGCACAAACATCATTTTTTTTTTCAATGTTTATTGGCGTGAAAAAGAGCAGGTGACCGCATCAGGAACTCACAGGTTGTTCTTTACTGCAGTGATGTGAAGAAGTACTCAAAAAGAGTTTGTGTGCTTTTAATAGTCATGGATACATTTCCTTGTAATTCAAGGTATTAGGAGTCTAAAATTGGAATGGAGAATCACAGACTCATTTTCCCAACCATGCCTCATCTCCAAAGGGCACCAGTTGACGTCAAATGCCTCCCAATAAAAAGGTGCTCTAAATTCTGGCAGGATGGGATGAAATTTTTGCCAGGCATACATATTTTATTAATATAACTTGCATAATGGTATGACTGCAAGCTTATGAGTCATTCACGAAATCTACAAAATAAAGTACAAAATCTCTTGTGTAACTGGATTTTTATCTAGGGTAGTTTAAAAGAAGTCTTAGTATAAAAACTAGTTAAAAATAGGGGTTTTTTTGAATTTCTTTTATCCTCTTCCTGTAGTTTTCAAAGAAATTCATTGGAAGCTTTTGTTCTCGTCTTCCTCTGAAACCCAAAACCATTAGGATTTACTTTTTTTTTTTTCTTTTTAATTTGATGCATTCAGTCCCACCCTGTTTTATCACACCCACAAAAACAAAGTACATTTCATTTCTTCTTCTACTGTTTTTGTTCACAGCACGTTCAGTCAATGGAAATTGGAATTTTCAATCGTGGAAATTCTGTTTGTTGGTAAACCTAGTTTGATGACATCCTTGCTCTAGAAAGCAATAATGCCAGTCATTATTATTGAAAAGAAAGGTTTATTTCCTTATCTATGGACACATGTATTTTTGTGCATGTTATAAACATCTTATATCATATAAATTTTATGTCCTCTGCTAGTTTAGTGCAGTGTGAAGATTTCCTGCTGGACTTTATCCCACTGCTGAGTGGGGATTTCCTCTCCTGAGACAGAAGACATAAACTTTGACACCAACCACGAGAAAATTAGTCTTCCTTGAGATTTAATATTTTGTAATTCCCTGAAGACAAAGCTGAACTTTAATTAAAAAACAAAACCATTTCAAAATTATTCTTGAATAATTTCTGGAGCCAGGTTTGAGTGATACGTGTGAAAGTTTTCATCTATGCAAATTTTCTCCTTTGTTACACTGAAATGCAGCAAATCCCAAAGTTTAGTACAGTGTATCACATACAACCATGAGGGGAAAAAAACCTAAAATTGTAGCCTTCATCATCCAGGACTGTGTTCCACCCACCTGTGTTTGCTCCTCTCCTCTCTCCCCAGTTTCTACTGGGGAAGCCAAAGGGTGCTGTCAGTTCTGGGAGTCAGCAGAAATTCAAGGTAATTGACTTGAAAACCGCACTATAAATTAAGCTTTTAGCAAACCACAGGCAGTTTTCTGGACTGGATACAGATCCAGATGAGGTTGTGACCCCAAAGTGAGTGCAGAAGGAGGAGCAGCACGATGGGTGAGGCGTTTCCCCAGTGAATGTCAAACATTGCAGCTATGCAGGAGTGGCCAGCCTGCAGCTCACTCTGTCTGCTGGCTTTACCTGAAAAGAACTTTCCCAGCGTTAGGTACGTTCTCTCAGGTGTAAACTGAATTACAAAAATAGAGAAAAGTGCATGGACTAGGCCTCATTGATTTTTACAAGCCTGATTTGTAAATATTTATGCGTATGAAAATGACAATACCATTCGTCTTGGGTTCTTTAATAGTAGGGTTAGAGTGGTAGGTAGAATTGTGTAGGTAGAAATCACAGACTGGTGAGTCCTGTGAGACGTGAAACAGAAAAGCCTTGTGCATTTAGAAATACACTTTAAACTCTTTATACACTTGGGTTTCAAAATCAATAGAAATCCACGCTCACAAAATAAAACACATCGCTTTTAAGTAAAGCTTGCACTATCAGCGTGCAGGTTTTTGGAAAATGCTTTGACCTGTGCCAAATCATAAAATCCATGCAGGAGATTAAAAATTGCACGTACTCCTTGGACGTTTTCTCACTTAGTCTCCATTTGCTAGAGAAACAGTAATTTGCGTGAAACTGATAGCGCTCCCTCCAGTGCCACAGTGCCCTTATCCTTAATCATCAAGGTGAACAATGCTTCCCTCAGGGCACTTCCCTTCTTAGGTGAAATTAATCCTGAGATTCTTGGTATTAAAAGGCTCCCCAGAGGAAGGGCTGTGAAAAAGAGTTGTGGTTTTCTGAAGTGCATCTGGTAAAAGAAGTGAAAAATTGTCTGCTTTGGTGGGCAGAGGAGGAGTGGGTGAGTTTTGATGCCAGGGTGATGAAGGTGAGGTTTTACATATCATCACACCCCTGCTTATGTTTTGATTTGTCT